AGCTTTTTTTTAAAATGAAATTTAGAGATTCTTGGATAGAAGAAAAAAAATGTGTAACAGTTGGAAAACAAAAAAAAAATCTTTTGGAAATAAAGCTTTTCGAGATTCTGATTTTCAATATCAGAAAAGGGCTTTGGTATCGTCTGGCGGAGCTCAACCAGACTAATTAAATTTCCTTTTAAAGAATGAAAATTTTAGGAATAAAAAAAAGAATTTCAGATTGAAAAAAAGGAAATTTCAGAAAAAAAGGGATTTATTTTTCTGAAATTTATTTTTTTAGTTAACTTTTTGTTGTTGTTTGTTTTATTCTTTTTTTTCAAGTATTCTACAAAATGATTTTTTTTTTTGAAAAAAAATTTCAATAGTGGTAGCCATGAAGGATAACATGATATCAGGTTCTTCAATATCTACCATGACAGTGGATAAGTCAATTCATCAAGTGGTATGCCGTGAAAATTGATGTAACAAAATTTTGCGGCAAATGGAACTTTGACATGTAACGATATGCGATGATGAATGCACCATGTTCTCTAAATATGAAGTAAGTCATGGATAGTGTGGAATGTCCAGAAGAGATGTCAGAGAGAGTTTGATTGAACAACCAGAGTGCTTGTGGCTTGATCCAAAATTACTTGACCTAGGAGATCAAATATGAGGTTATGATGGAGACTTCTGTAGAGAAATTATGGAGGATGCTGAAGAACAAGTATCTCATGAAGAGTTTGGAGGACCTTCTTCATATGAAGCGTCGACTTTACAAATTTTAGATGAGACGGGGGTTACTATTGATGAACACTTGAATGACTTCACTAAGCTATTGCTAGATCTCTTAAATGTAGATGAGCATAAAACACTTAGTCTGTTGAATTCTCTTCCGGATGAGTACGAAAACTTAACTATGACAATCGTTCATGAGAATGAGATCTTGACTTATGACGAAGTGATTATGATACTATTGAATCATGAGTTCTGTCGAAGGGACAACGAGTCTGCAAAGATGAAATCAGCTGAGGCACTTAGACTACAACACGACTGATCTAAGAATAAGAAGAATCGGTCAAAGAAAGGTGATAACGATGACACTTTTCAATTGTGGGGCAAGTCTCATGGGCGCAATGTTTAGAAAAATCAACGTGCTTACTGTTTAGAGATTGGTTATTGGAAGAAAGATTATCCGAAGTTGAAGGAGAAGTGAAATGAAATTGCATCTGAGATGAAAGCCAATGTTATTGTGAAAAGATGTGAAGCGACAGATTCAAATGTATTGTTATTTTTACAGATAATTCGTGCTGGATTTTGGACACATGTGCTACATATCACATTTGTCCTCATCTACGATGGTTTTGTATGTACAAGGAACTAGATAGCGGTGCAGTGTTATGACCAACAATCAAGCTTGTCATATTATTGGTATAGGGAGTATCTTTATCAGGATGCATGATGATGCTGTGAGTGAATTGACTGATGCTAAAAATGTTCCATATATCAAGAAGAATTTGCTATTAGTTGGGGCTTTAGAGTCCAAGGGCTACAAGGTAGTTATTGAGGCAAGAGTTCTAAGAATATATCATGAAGTAATGGTTTTTATAAAGGGAGTTCATCATCACAATATTTACTATTTTTAGGGTAGTGCACTGCCTGTAACGGCTGTTGTTGTTGATAATTTTTTTGACACTACTATATTGTGGCTTATGCGGCGGCTAGCTCATGCTAAAGAGGTTTTACTTCAAACTTTAGGGAAGGAAGGATTAATTAAAGGAGTGAACGCTTACAAGCTTAATTTCTGTGAACATTGTGTATTTGGCAAAAAGACATGAGTATCTTTTGGGACTGCCATCCACAATATACAAAGTATTTTAGAGTATGTTTACATAAATGTTTGTTGCCCGACAAAGACAACATCATTAAGTGAGCAGAGATGCTGTATCTTTTATTGATAATTACTCCAGATATGTTTGAGTGTATACCATAAAGCGCAAAAGTGAAATGCTGGAGATTTTCATAACTTAGAAGAAGTGGATTGAGACTCAGATTGGTAAAAAGATCCGGTATATCAGATCAGACAATGGGGGCGAATAAACTTCAGATAAGTTCTTGTAAGAATGTTAAAGAGCTGGGATAGAGTATCACTTCACTGTTCAAGAGACATTACAACAAAATGGGGTGACGGAGAGGATAAACCAGGCTTTGGTGGAGAAAGTTCAGTGTATGCTATCCAATGCTGGTTTGGATATAATCTATTGGGTCGAGACCATAAAATATGCTTGTGACGTGGCGAACTTCTGCCTTCTGCAGCTATTAGGAAGAAAACCCCAAAAGAGATGTCATCAGAGCATCCTGCTAGAGATTATGATCACATGAGAGTGTTTGTGTGTCCAGCTTACTACCACGTGCAAAATAATAAACTGGAACCATGAGCACAGAAGACAATTTTCATTGGCTTCAGACGTGGAGTTAAGGGCTTAGCAGAGATGTTACATTTGACGAGACAAACTTGTTAAAAAATCGAGACTCAAAATAGGTAGAGTTCTACTAGGACCATATATATGCAACGAAAATTAGAGTTTGATGCAACTCCATTTGTACCACAGAGTTCGTCCACTCTGACTCAAATATCTGATTTAGTTGCAGCTCAGGATGTATCTGTTGCTAATGTTCAGGAGGAGGTGAAAGAAAATGTTGAAGATGAGATTCTTGCTTAGAAATCTATTGTTAGGAGAATGAAAAACACCAGAATATCCCTAAACCAACTTGGTTGAGTGATCACATTGCATTTTACTTTCAACCATAGAGGCATAAATTTCTTGTCACTACAAAGAAGCGGTGGAGAGTCCATATTGTGATATTTGGAGAGCGGCAATGGATGAAGAGAGGGAGTCTCTTTGGATGAATGGTATTTGGAGGTTGGTGAAGGTTTCTCCAGGGAGAAAAACCATTGAATGCTAATGGGTGCATGCAAAGAAGGAATGATCTCATGAAGCTGATATGCGGTACAAGATAAGGTTAGTGATAAAAGACTTTGTGCAAAGTGTTCTCCCTAGTGGTCAAGCATCCCTCAATTCATGTTCTCTTAGCACTTGTAGCACAGTACAGTCTGATCTTGGAACAACTCGATGTGAAACTGTATTTCTATAGGGAGAATTGCAAGAAGAGATCTACATATTGCAATCGCCTGGATATGAAGCATAAAAAAACTTGGTTTGCAAATTGGACAAGTTTTTGTATGGATTGAAGTAGTCACCACTGCAGTGATATAGAAAAAATTGATGAGATCATGAGTGGACATAAATACACAAGGAGCCAGTATGATCATTGTCAATATTACAAGAAGTTGGCCAACGGTAAGTTCATTTACTTGCTTCTATATGTTGATGATATATTGATTACATCTGCTAGTCAGATTGAGGTTGACGGGATAAAAAATCAAGTGTCCAAACATGTTGAAATGAAGTTGGGTGAAGCTCACAAAATTCTTGGCATATAGATTCTTAGGGACAAGATAGCTGGTAAGGATTGACTCTCGCAAGGAACTTATGTTTGAAAGGTGCTGAAGAAAATTGAGATTGATGACTCGAGCAAGGCAGTGAGTCTACCTATTACATTTCAATTCCAGTTGAGTTCAGATCAGTGTCCTAAAGATGATCAAGATTGGAAATATATGCGATCGGTTCTTTATGCTAGTATAGTAGACAGTCTGATATATGTCATGGTTTGTATAAAACTAGACATTGCATAAATAGTTGGTGTTGTGAGCAGGTTTATGCATGATCCAGGAAGGTGTCATTGACAATCTGTAAAGCGTATTCTGAGGTATCTGAAGGGTACGGTTGATGTTGGCTTGGTGTTTGAGAGACAATCATTCAGTGCAGATTTGTGCAGGCTACACTGACTCAGACTATGTAGGTGATATAGATAGACGGAAATCTATGACGGACTATTTATTCACATTGGCAGGAGGTTTAGTCAGTTGGAGGTCAGTTCCTCAGTCTACCATTGCTTTGTCTACTACGAAGACTGAGTACATGACAGTCACGGAGGCGATTAAGGAAGCAATATGGATGCAGGGTCTATTAAATAACTTAAGATTTGATTAGGAGTCTCTGACGGTATTCTGTAACAGTCATAATGCAATATTCTTAGCCACAAATTCAGTTCATCATGTTCGTACCAAACAGATTGATGTCAGGTACCACTTTGTTGAGGACTTGATTAAAGAAGACAAAGTTCTGTTGAGGAGGATAAATACGAAGGAGAATTCATTGGACATGCTCACAAAAGTGCTACTAGTCTAGAAGCCCGCTTATTGCAGGAGTTTGCTGAACATCTGAGCTCAGGACTGATTGCCCAACCAAGCATTTTTAAGAACTACATGAGGATTGATTCCTTCGGGAGCGAGGTACGTATGCAACCATTTTGGTGCAACTGATTTGGAGTTTGGAGTTCATCTGACCATGTCTCACTTATCTAGAAGTAGAAAATGAGGTCAAAATTATTGTATTTATGACATTATTTACTTTTATTGTAATTAGGGGTATTTTTGTCTTTTATTTTTATTTACTTGTATGTTCTAGTCCTCCTCTATAAAAGGGACTTAGGGTTCATGAGAGTTAATTATGGTGGGAAGTGTTAAGTTGTAACCCCAAGCCATTTTTCTTTCTCCATCAGGTACTAGTGGAATCTCCCTCCTCGTGGACGTAGGCGAATGAATTTAACGCCAAACCACGTAAATCTTTTGTGTTTGATTGTTGTTTTGTGAATTTCTACGCTTCCACATTTTTTTCACATAACATGAGGGACCTACTTTATTGGCCTTTTGTTTCATTTAAAAGTTTGGCAATCATACATATTATAGTAATTCTTTGAACAGTGAACGTAGTACTTTCAGATCCATCTTGCATTGTTTTTTCTTTGTTTCTATAATTATCACCGTGTCATCTGTGAATCTTTGCTTTTTCTACTTCAGATATAAAGTTAAAATTGTTTATTTTTTTAAACTCCAGATACACCTTATTAGACCATTGGACAAACAGTTGGCATTAGCTGACATGGACATAGTTAAAGTGATTGGGAATGGCAGTGCTGGAATCGTACAATTGGTTAGACATAAGTGGACTGGCCAGTTTTTTGCTCTTAAGGTATGCAGTAGTGGTATGATCTGTTGCTCCTCATCTTTAATGAAATTGATGCTTTTTATATATATATATGTATATATATTAAATTTCATTAGTTACTATTTGAACCATTTTTCTGTAGTTTGTCTGGCTTCTTTATTTTTTTATTTTGTGGAAGTTCTTTATGTGATGCTACTTGCATGAAGCAACACTTTTGAATGAATTTTGGACCCCCTATTATTTATTTACTCTGTCGAAGTTTACTTTTTATCTTTTATTCTTGTATGAATTTTGTTCTTTTTTTTAATTAGATTTCTCCGTTAACAAATTTTACGCCAGGCCAAATTTGTAAATTAACTTAAATTTCTGAACGACTTGTGTACTCTGGAACACGAAAATTAGTTTCAAAAATTGGGCTTGTAAAATCTATGCATAGAACATTGTATTTTCGTGTATCTTAGAACTTGTTAATATGCTTTAGCTTATAGCTTCATGTATGCTTAGTATTTCCCCACCGCAGCATCTTTTTGTCCTTTTATTGGATAAGGGTTACTTTGCCTTGAGCCTAGGCTATAGCCCAAGCTATTGTCCCCGCTCTCATGACAAGTGAGGAGCCTTTTATTTTCTTCAACATTGGTTTTCAGAAGCTGTCATGTAGAATGTCAGCCATGACAACTGTCCAAAACGATCAAACATTGCTCAATAATCCATAAGAGTTGATGCGACACAATGCGTCATCATTGTATTCAGCCTTATTCCAATTAATTGATCTTCAAAGATGCATGAAAGAAAATGATTTATGCACTGATTGATCTCAATTTTTATTCTACTTTTATGTTGCTTTATCTCAATTATTTGGATTTAGCTTATGAATTTTCTTCTCTACTCAGTTTTATCAAGTGTTGTACGTGTTGTTTAGTGATCTATTAATTTTGCCCATATCCATGCATAACCTCTAGTCATTTTATTTTTTGTCAGCCCTTTTCTTTTCTAATCCTTCTGCTTTATTTTTTTCTACTCACCTTATTTGGCGCATCTTCTACTCCCCAACACCCAGGCCACCTAGACTTTTATTACCTTATCATCTTTATGTGTTATTCCTGCCATTTTCCTAATCATGATTTTCTTCTCCATCCTTCGTAGTCTCACCACACCCTGCCTTACTATTCTTATTCTTGCCACAATGAATATTATTGATTTCTTTATTTTGAATCTAGAAATTGTCTTCATCAAGATTTATTTTTGGCTGCATAGTGGATTTAACGTACTTAAACCTGTCACACCCAAACAGCACCAATGTTCCAGCTTTATTAGCTACTAATAATAGTAAGTTTCATACGCATTAAAAGTAAATATAGAGTATTCGATCTATTTTCTTACTAATGGGAAGTATGTATCTTTTAACAAGATACTTTGTTTCCAATTTTCACTTCAAAAGTGGTTCTACTCATTAGGTTGCCACATTAGTTGTCAAGAAAAAAAAAAAAAAAAAAAAAAAAAACCTGCATCTCCTTGACGACTACAAAGATATGGAATTGATGCCAAACTTATTCTAATCGGACCGTGTTTGGAAGATCTTTGATCACTAAAAACTAATATTGACGATGAACATTGCCACACCATATATATGTTTAATGAATTCCATGTAGCGTTGACATGCTTATTTTTCTTAATGCCTTTAAAAAATAAATTGAGGCATAGAATCTTATAGGCTTTCTTGGTCGGCAAAAATGATATGAAAATTCTTTTGTGGTTTGCAGTATTTTCCTAATAATTTTCTTAGTTCAAAAAAGCCCTTTTATAGTTGATCTTCTAGACATTAAACAGGAATAATTTTAAATTATCATTGCAATTCTTCTAATTCAGTGTTCCATTTACATCCCTAATGACTTCATTGTATGAGTAATAAGGCTGATTCCTATATAATCACTACAATTTCAAACTTGCATCAATAATATGTCAGCGCTAATCTTAAAGAGATCCAATGGCTCCGAAGAGAAGAGTAGAGTGAAGGCTAGCCCACTGACAAGAAATCGTGAGGCCCACCTGACCAACCGAGCGAAACCATATATGAGCCAAGCGATAATGCCTAGATTGGACCATGAGGCAGACGACAAGACGACTGAATGGTTGAAGCGCGGGCCATTCGATTAGAAATGAAATAAAAGAGCAGCCGATCCAACCACTACGAAGAAAACTGACTCGACATGTTAGCTTACCCTCCAGTGGAGTTGATCCAATGGAAGATCCAGTTCCACAATTTCTCCAACCATCCCAGGGACGCCCTAGAGGCTCTTCATGGATCAATGATTGATAGCCAAACTAGATCAACCGATTGACCCAAGTCATCCAAGCTCAACCGACTTAGCTGACCTCATCAACTTGAAGCTAGCTAAATTTAGCCAACCGAGCCAGAAAGCAGCTAGAAGATAAGATCATGCATATAAAATACTCAAAATTTCCTAGTAGGGACTTATTTAAAGTAAGGGCAAAAATGTAATACCATTATTATCTTATCTCTTCTATAAACAAGAGAATCATTTTATGAATAAGACACATTTGATTACTGTTCATTCATCTCTTTCTATCTCTCTCTATCTTTATTTGCACTCTATTCCTGGGTGTGATTAACAAACAAATCTGGATTCAACATCTTAAAAGATGAGATGAGCATAGATCATGCCGCAAATAAGAAGAGAAGCAACACAAAAAGAATCTCTTAACATAAATATTGGTAACATGAAGTGCACCAGAGAATTTGAGGCTCAATAAATCCGGTAGTTGAAGGATCAAATCTTGGATGTCATCCGAGGCGTGAAAACCCGGGGGAGAGACCAACAACCCCAGGATTAAGGGTTGGCACCCAACGATAGAAGAATCCCTTCAGCCTTGGAGAGGGAAGGCGACTCCTAGTACTTTAATAATGTCGGGTAGACATCGATAGATCGACATCAGTTCAAGTGTACTGAGGTGCCCCGACAGATTGAGAATGTATTCTTGTGGCAAATCTAGGAGGTCGAGCCTCTCAAATGATTCAAGATCTCAGCATTGGAGTCCTACAAGTGGCAGACCTATCCGACCGATCATATAGCCTTGTTTGAGTCAACCATGTGTTCGTTGAGAATCACCGATGCGTTGAAATACCGTCTTTTCTGTACCCCTCTAAGAGAGCCAACCCTCTGGTGCTTCAACGGATTACGATTAGGAGTAAACGTGATACATTGATTTCAGTTGTATGTTCATGACACAATATGCCAGTGCGTAGAAGCCTTAGAAAAACTCAGTTTTTTCTACAGTTTTGCCAGGGACAAAGTGAGAGTCCACGCTCATTCATCACCCGCTTATAGGAGTTGTTGGAAGTGCAGGACTTGAAACCCGTAGTCGCCAATGCCAGCCTGGCTCAAGTGCTGAAGGAAAGAGCTTTCTGATCCCCTCCTTTTAAAACATCGAGGCTAGTAAAGAATTTTATCTGGTCTAATAAGTGAGAATAAAGATTCAGAAAATGAAAAGGCTTTCTAGAATCACCACCACTCCTTCAAATCACAAATCCGAATGAAGAACTCTCCATGTACTTGTGAATCAAATCTAAAACCATCAACTCGATTTTAGTCTGAGAGGAGCCAGAGAAGCATTTCCTGGTCTACAACGATAGTGAAATCCTTCGAGGAGCTGGACTCAGGTATCCTATTATAAAAAATTAACATTATCTCTTTTTATTTCTGCCCTCAGGTTCCGCTTGTATTTCCAAATGCATCTGGTTAAGATCATCACCCTCCGCTCAAATCAATTCTGTCCAAGTTGGAACACTTTGGTTGGCTTCTCAAATGGGTGGTAGAACTCAGCGAGTTCGATCTCTTTTATGTGTCCCAAACCGCCATCAAGCCTCAAAGCTATAGTTGACTTCCCAACCGACTTTTCCGAGCCGCGGGTACTAGACGAAGAAGCGGCAACCGACAGTCATACCAGGTCCTGTATATCAAAGGAACGTCTAGTCAAACTGGGGAGGGGCTTGGTCACACTCTTAACAAATCCGACCGAAGATCATCCATACCACTTGATAGGAATGGGATTCGAAGCCACCAACATTCTAAGCCGAGTATGAAACTTTGATTGCTGGGTTAAGACTGGCTTATGAGATGGGTGCACGACACCACCTAGTAAAATCCGACTCATAATTAGTGGTCAATCAGGTAAACATGCAATTCAAAGTTAGAGACAAAATTATGTCTAGATACATTGGCAAAGTCGAGAAAGAAATATGAAAATTTAAAAGTTTCAAGGTTGTGCCCATCTCTCAAGTAGACAACTAGGAAGCAAACCTCTTATCTAAGTGCTTTCGCTTGGGGAAGGCGACGCTCTAGAGGCTTATCGGGCCGACCATAGAGGAAGCTGAGATGATGGAATTGAGAGTCGAAAGATCAAAGAGCTGGACAAATTCATACATCATATTCCTTGAGATTGGGAAGATCTCAAAAGAAATGACCCACCTAAAACACTTCAAAATTAAGACAACACAATATTTTATGACTGAGGGAAAATTTTTTCAAAGATTACTCATCTCGTTGTACTTGAGATGCATGAAAGATGATGGGGCAGAAGGTGTCCTCCGGGAAGTACATCAGGAGAATATGGAATCCCTATGGAGGGAAGGCTTTAGCACACCAAATGTAGCGATAAGGATATTTTGGGCCGACACTGTAGAAAGACACCAAGAGATTCTTAAGTAGAAGCAAACAATATCATAAGTACGCATCGCTACAACATCGACCGACTTACAAACTACAATCCATTGTCAGCCCATGACCATTCGCCGTCTGGGGGCTCTATATTGTCGTGCCCTTCCGACGTGAGGACAATGAAAGTTCCTATTCGCTGCTGTAGATTACTTCTCCAAGTGGATTGAGGCCAATACGCTAGCTCGGATCACCGCAAAGGTCATTCGAAATATCATCTAGACTGGTTTAATACGTCGATATGGGCTATCACTCGTAATCATCACTTACAACGTAAAAGGTCCTTCTATT